ATTTTGAATAGGTGTCCAAAACAAGCTGTACTTAAGGCACAGAATGTGTGTGAGAGAGATGGCGGGGGTTATTATCATCTAAATCCTCTCCTCCCCTTAGTAATCCTTCGAAATGCAAAATACGCTTTATAAATTATTAAATTTTATCAACCGCCATCATGATATTTTCTAGCTTATAAAGTTGAAGAATTTTTTTATTATTTGAAATCAAAGTCATTATAAGAGTTTAAGAATGCTGACTACAAATACAGAAATTAACCAAGAAAAGAATAGTTAATCAATGAAATATAAAATCACAAGACTCTTATAATTTAATTACCCTGATAAATGAAATATATTAAAAAATGAAGACAATTAAACTGATTTCCTAGCTGGCATATTCGCCTTAAATATTTTTGCTACACAGAGACAGGGACATTGGGTAGAAAAGAGTCCCAAAGAGTTACGAATGAAATATACCTGGAAGATGCACATTGTTAACAATAATGGTAACTTTAGGAGAAATAACTTCAATTAGCAATTGCATTTTTTTTAATATGCAGCCAAGTTGATTAAAATTTAATTTTTTAATCACTTTTAACATGTTTTCTTTGTAAATGTATTAAAATTTTGTTTTTTTTTTTTCCTTATTACATATATATCTGCTTTGTAATGCAAGCTATTAAACATTTGATGCTTGACCTTTCCTTATGAACCCTAAATCATTTTGAAGTTCTTGATGCTTGTATTTATTTGTCACAAAGATTTGAGGAATTTCAGTACTTGTAAGCTGACCCGAAGTGCTTAATTTCCGAAAAGACTTTAATTCATAAGGGCCACACTAATATGTGTGAATTACTCCAAAACATTTTTAGTTACTGTGTTTTCCAACTACTAAGAAACTTATATAAATATAAAAGTAAATTTTGCAAACTTAAGAATTCCAATGTCCAGTCTCTAATGAGGTTAGATTATTTTCAAGGTTCAAGTAAATACCCTAATATATTAAAATAGCTGTAGGTCTTACATCTTAAAAAGAATAATTATTTCTAGTTTCAAAATGTTTGAAATGGTCATTGCAAAATTTTCCAAACTTATAAATTAATTGTTGCGTTTCCTACAGAACTTTTTGCAATATATGTTAATTATGTTCCTCCCAAACTTTTTTTTAGATAACTTAATAATGCATTGGAAGACCTCCCTTGTGGTTTTGTTGATCTTTATAATAAATGACGGTAAGAAAATGCTTTATATTTCTGTAAAAAATAAATTTAGCCAAAAAGTAATTAAGAGCCAAGAAAAGTGAAAATAAAACTATTTATCTCTTGATTTACCATATCCTTATAATCGTTTTGGTTTCATAAAATAATGACTGAAGTAGGAAGAATTTTATTGTATTTCTTTCTAACTTTTAAAATAATTATCAAATTCATATTTAGCGGGGATTTTTATTAATTCAACAATGTATTTGCAGTTACGAAGGACAAATCTTGAGTATAAAACGTTTTGTAAGGTATAAAATGTATACCTTTCACATATTGCCAAACTAAAAGATGGCTTCATAATCAAACTTGTGATTGTTCATTCATGAATATAAATCAGTAACTACACATCTTCTTTTTTTCAGTAAATGTTTATATTAATATTTTACTTAATTGATAGTAAGAGGCGATCAGGCCTTCCAGAAGAAATGTTAATGTATAAGTAGAAACAAAGTTCAATGTTGAACATCAATCTTTAAGTTGACAGTTTAACATGAATAACATGAGACAAAAGTTAAACAAGCAAATTCCAAGAATTGTGGTCCCCCGCTTTCAGTGTCTTAGTGGATTGGATGCCATTATTTATGGCATATTGTGTCAAATATGAACGCCTTATTATATGTTATTCAAAAGTAATCACCAAAGTTAATTTTTTTTTTAAATTATGTCAAACATGACGTCAAAGTCAAGTGGTCAAAAAGCATAACATCCTGGGAAACATCTTGTCACAGGTAATGCACTTGTCAAATATGAATGCCATATCTCTTCTCTTTCAAAAGTAGTAAGAAAAGATAACATTTTTGAAAAGTAGGTCAAACTTCAAGGTCAAGGTCACAAGGTCAAAAATCATAGTATATTTAGAATGGTCTTGTCACAGGTAATATACATGTGTAATATGAAAGCCCTAACTTTTCTCTTTTAAAAGTTATGACCAATTTAATGTAATGTTATTTTTTTTTTGGAAAATATGTCAAACTTCAAGGTCATGGGGTCAAAAACCATAGTATATTTCGAAAGGTCTTGTCACAGGTTATGTACATATGAAATATGAAAGCCCTATCTCTTCTCATTCAGAATTTTTGACAAATGTTAAAGTTTTGTGTGACAGACGGACAGACCGACAAACGAATGAGATTTAATGTCCCCTCGCTTTTGCGAAAGCCGGGGACAATTATTTTTGTACATGTAATCATGTGGAATTGAAGTTGAAACATGTAAACTTCTTTATTGCTTGGTAGAATAGTACTTTTAGTATTTGACTAAATTTGGAATAATCTAAACCTTTATTTCTACGAGTTTTAAGTACAAGATTTTTATAAAAACGATCCAGCCTGAGGTACTATTGATAAGTTTACAAACATTATCCAGTCTAAGTTATATTTATATATTCTAGGGATGGCAAATTTTAATTTGGAAACCGGTTACTCGGTCGGAACGATGGTAATCGAAAAATCTGTAATCGGTTAGTCGGAAACAATTTATATATGTGCAAACTTAAAAAAAACCCTAAGAATTAAATTGAAACATATAGTAAGCTGATTCGGAGAAAATTCTCCGGATTGGCATATATAGTGGTCCGGTGCTACAAATGTAATTGGTCAGATAATTGTAATTGAAGATGTTAATTGCTGTTTAAACAGAGTGTCGTTAACCAGCTTGTCAACTGTTTTGCTAATAATTTTAATTAAATGATTGTTGAGAACTGTAATTTAAATGTGAACCTTCACTCATCTATCCTTTTCTCTCACCTATCACACATAAACAAACATTGTAAATTAAGCGAGAAAGTTCAGACTTTGTTTTCATTATGGTGACAATGCAAAATGAACTTGCAACACATCATTTCTAATTTTTATCAATTATCTTATATATGAGCACGGTTCATACTAGGTTTCTTAATTTTTCTTTTTTTAAAATTTATTGATATTCAAATAAGATATATATAGAATAAACATTCAATTGCTATATGTAATATCTTTAAAGACTTGTTGATTTAAAGAGAGCTTACACTAATGAAATAATACATATATATTATTTTTATACGATTAACCGATTAATCCGTCGAAACGTCTTGCGGTTAACCGAATGGCAATTTTATCTCTTATATATTCCATCATATTATCCAGTTTAAGGTGTCCTTAAGATCATGTCAATTAAAGGCACGTACAAAGAGTCTTCAAACCATATTCAGTTTTAAATAATTTTTAATAGTCCCAACAATCAAATTGAATTTGAATTACAATACCTGTACTGGATTCCAAAACTCCATAAAAATTCTTACAATGAAAGAAACATAGCGGCTTCCAGTAAATGTTCAACCCATTCTCTTTCTTTACTCCTAACTTAAATATATACAACAGTGAAGGAGAAACTTCAGGAGTACTGTGCAACAGTATATTCGAAAAGTGGTGAATGATCAGGTGTAGAGACTTAAAAGCTCCCAGGAACTTTTAGAAAATTTGAGATCACAAAATTTTAGCAAAATCAATAGCATAAAAAAATACAATTTTTCAACAATTCTTAAAACAATTCCCCACAATGAATTAAAGTCCGGACTTTTTGACATAAAAGACACATGTTCTCTCAATGAAAATGAAACTCGTAAATATAATTACCTTGTCATTGGTCATTTGTAAAATTATTGTTTTCAAAAACATTCTGATTGTACACATAAGTACTCTGAAGTTGATAGTAAAAAGATTCATGAGTTTTTGATTTAAAATATTTATGTAGTTTTTCGGAGATCAGATCTTCCAACAATCTGTTGGAATTCCATTGTGTATATCCAATTGATATATTTTTGAAATCATATGAAGCAGAGTTTTTTCAAAACCTTTTACATGAGAAGAAAACACTTGCTGTGGCCTTTAACTCGACATTTCAATATATCGACAACGTATTATCAGTTAGCAATAGTTACTTCCATTCATATGTCAACTTGATATATCCCAGTGAGCTTGAAATAAAAGATACCACAGAGTCTGACACATCTTTTTCATAGTTAGATATTTCACTAGAAAAAGACGCCAATGGTTATCTAACAAGAAAGCTTAATTATAAACGTGATGACTTTAACTTTCCAATCATCAACTTCCTTTAGTTATATAGCAATATACCTTTGTCGCCTGTAACTGGGATTTTTGTCTCTCAGTTGATTCGATACGCAAAAGCAAGCTCTACGTACGAACAATTTCTAAAACAAACCATTGATATACAGATTGATGAAGCAAGGATATGAACAGTCTCGGCTGAAGTCATCATTTTGCAAGTTTTGTGGTCGATACAATGACCTTGACAGCAAATACAACCTTTCATTATGCTGACTGACGTATTTCAAACAGATTGTTTGGCTATTGTTTGCACACAGGATGGTCTACGCATTTTCCGGTTTTCCCAATCATGACAAGGAGCACACGGTGTGTGTGACCGGTCAACAGGAGATTCTTACTCCTCCATGGCACCTGATCCCACCTCTTATGTTTTTGAGGTCCGTGTTTACTCCGCTCCCGATTTTTGTTCTTTAAATGGACTTTGAGCTTGAATACTGTTCATTATCTCTATATTTCATCTAACAAAATGGACTTGTTAAAAATGATTAAGTTTTTTCTTCAACCTTAAATTGGGTTTTATTTTCAACGTTGTCTCAACGTTGAAGTTATGACAAACGTTCCAATAATTTGAGAAAAATTCCTTCTTTTTTATTCATTAGTATACATTTAGATGTTTCATTAGTACAATTTCTGCATATTTTTTTTTTCTAAGGAATATCACTCTCAGAGAAAATTGGTGATGGTAATGGAGTGTTTACGAATGCCCTCGAAAACCAAATGTTTAAAAGGTGAAATATTGTTAATATCCAAAAAAAAAGTATTTATAATGTGTGTTTAGTAGATTTAATGTAGTTTTATTACAATATGCTGCATATTTTCTGAAAATAAACAATGCCCAATCTGGTTGAAAATTTAAAAAAAGAACAGACCGACAGATATTTTTGAATTTTAGAAATATATTTTATGTACATGTATCATACTTTTAAAAATATTGTCAACAATGCGCCGTTTCACTTTTTACCATTATAACATTTCATTATAACATTATAACATTAATCGTGAACTGATCAATGAACTTCTAAATTTCATTTTTTAAAGTAATTTTAAGTAACTCATATTGCAGGCATAGAGAAAAAAGGCGTATCTTGGGAGCTGAACACGAGTACTTCCGGGCATATTTTTCAGAAATGGGTCTTCTGGACGTTTACAATAGTGTGCGACGTAATGGATTGATAAACAACTGGAGAGCACTAGGATAAGCTTCCTACAGTAAAACCATTGAAACTTCCACAAACTATTATAGATCGCGAGCAGAAGCAGGTAAAAAGCTTTCCATCTGATAGATTAAAATAATGGTTGTAAATGCGACACATTTTCTTTTGTCTTTACTTTCATATACAAATGTAAATCTTGACTTTTGTCTGACTTGTTCACAATTCCGTCATTAGAGTAGGGAAAATAAAATCTGTCTCAAAATCAAATTTGTTTTCAACGTCATATCATTTTTAACATCTAAAAGTCATACATAATTAGAGATATCGTATAATGTTGAATTTGAAAAATAAATTTCTTTTTTTATGTTGACGAATAAGGATTGTATGGAGTTATACCCTTATAGATCCATGTCATAAGAAGGACGCAAATGAAAATTATATTAATTTTGACTTACTTTGTGTATTTTTAAGTAGAAATTAAAAAAAAAAATTATCTAAAACCAGAACTTAACAAATTTTACTTTGACATCTTTTATCCTGTCTTGAACAAGTTTTATAACATGCACATAAAATATACTTTAGACATGTTTTATTCAATGTATTAAACACTCTAAGAATTGAATAATATTTAAACGCTGAAATCCTTAGACTCTGCATTTTTTTTCCTCTTTTTAATTTTCATATTTTTTCCCTGTTATTAAGGATATAATGTTGATGCCCAAGTAAATCGCATTGAACGTATCCTAGCCTATCGGCGGCAGGACGTTGCCAAACATGGTGGTGGCGACGAGGGCCATAACGCTACTATTGCCAAATGGCAGAATGGGCTGGAACGAATTCAGGGTGGTCAACAGCGACATTATTGTCAATACCATCATGACCTCAAAAAGAGGAGCGTCAGAAACCGAGGATGGAGCAGACGACGTTTTTCGTTCCGTAGAGGAGGAAGAAGGTGTCGCCTCTCAAGCAACAGGAGAGGAGACAGACGATTTCGATTTCAGAACAGAGGACGAAGTGGCAGACGACTCTCTTGTTAATTTTAGAGCAGACTTGAACGCTTATCAAAGTTTCTTATAATTGGTTAAAAGAGACGCAATAGTGATTTCTAAAATTTCTAAAATAAAATTTATTCAGACAGCAACGCAGAGTTCAACTTATTTGTACTCCAAATCTTTTAATAATTTTACAGCAAATGAAGAATTTTTTGTTAAAATATATCAAAATACAATATCAAAGGCTGCTCACAATTTTTATAAAAACAATCTTTCCTCTCTTAAATTCAGATCAAATCGCGCATTAAACGATTGAGGGGCAATATGAGAACCATCTATCCCTCTGTATTCAATAATCCAGAAGTGAAAAAAAGTATTAGATAGATTACATGATCAGTACGTACTGGTCCCCGCTGACAAAGCAGGTAACAACATTGTCTTTGTCTGTAAGGCTCATTAAATTAAATGTATTTTAGAGGAACTTGGATTTAATTCTACAAGTGGTAATCCAACTTATACCCATAGCTCCCTTTCTAAGGAAGACATTCTTCAAAATCATATGTCAGTTTTGAATATTTTTAATATTCCAAACAACCAAAATGAATTTGAATTACCATATCTATACTGGATTCCGAAACTTCATAAAAATCTTACAAACAAAGATACATAGCGGGTTCCAGTAAATGTTTAACCGAGCCTCTTTCTTTACTCCTCACTAAGATATTAACAGTAGTGAAGGAGAAATTTGAAGAGTACTGTACAACAATTTATTCGAGAAGAGGTGTAAATCTAATGTGAATACTTACAAATTCCAATGAACTTTTGGAAAATTTGAAATCACAAGATTTTACCAAAATTAACAGCTTAAAACTTACGACTTTTCAACTTTACACACAACCATTTCCCACGATAAATTAAGGTCCAGGATTTTTGATATCATTGACAGCTGCTTTTTCAATAAAAACGGAACTCGTAAATTTACTTACCTTGTCATTGGCCATTTGCAAAATTATTTTGTTAAAAAACATTCTAATTGTACACACAAGTAATCTGAAGTTGACACTAAAAAGATGCTTGAGTTTCTGAGTGACAATATCTATGTGGTTTTTGGATACCAGGTCTTCCAACAATCTATTGGAATTCCCATGGGTACCAATTATGCCCCGTTATTGACAGACCTTTTTTTGTATTCATATGAAGCAGAATTTGTCGAAAATCTTATACGTGAAAAGAAGAAAACACTTGCTGTGGCCTTCAACTAAACATTTAGATATATCGACGACGTATTGTCAATTAACAATGGTTATTTCCATTCTTATATCGATACGATATATCCCGGTGAGCTTGAGATAAAAGATACTACAGAGTCTGACACATCTGTTTCATATTTGGATATTTTACTTAAAAAAGACGTTAATGGTAATCTAACAACCAAGCTTTATGATAAACATAATGACTTTAACTTTTCAATCGTCAGCTTCCCTTATACCTATGCAGCAATATACCTTCATCACCTGCATACGGGGTATGTATCTCTCAGTTGATTCGATACGCAAGAGCATGCTCGACGTATGTACAATTTCCAAAACGAGGTAAGTTATTGACAAACAAGTTGATGAAACAAGAATATCAACTGTCTCGTTTAAAGTCATCATTTCGTAAGTTCTATGGTCGATACAATGACCTTGTCAGCAAATACAATTTATCATTGAGTCAAATGCTGACTGACGTTTTTCATACTATCTGTTAGGCCATTATTTACACACTGAATTGTCGACGGATTTTTCCGTTATTTCCCGATCATGACAAGGAGCACACGGCGGGTGTGACCAGTCGGCAGGGGATGCTCATTCCTCCATGGCACCTGATCCCACCTCTGATGTTTTGGAGGTCCGTGTTTGCTCTGCTCCTATTCTGTAATGTTTAATGGACTTTTGAGCTTGAATACTGTTTGTTATTTCCATGTATTTCATCATTCAATATTTGACAGTAATCGTCTTTCATAATTAACCAAACTGAAGTCTACAGTAGATATGCCAGAAATCGTTCTCCTCTTTTCATTCTGTCTGTTTAATTAAATTAAGTAGGATTAATCTGAACGTCAAGATTCATTCAAAATCATTTCATTTTTTAAACTGTTTTTCATTTCAGAAGTTCACAGAGATTCATTCTTTCATTAGGGAATAGTTGCACTTGCATTTCCAACAGGCTTGGTCGTTCATGTTGTTATAGGCACGCTTTACAATTCACCTTTTCAGCTTAAAATTTAGAATTGACACAGCTCCTAGATGTTTCACGTACGGTGAAACTGATAAACTTTATCTAGTAAAAGTTGCTACATGAATACATGTGGTTGTTTGTAAAACCCTTCAGGTAATATTGCCAATATTTTATTAAATTCGATGATTTGACACATTGGTGCACAGGCAGTGTACTTCAGGATACAAAACACTATGTCAGTATATCAATGTTTTCATTTAATAAACAAAAATAAAGGATTTTAAAACTATGACAAAAAGGTTTGATTTGCTTGGAGAGATTATTTTTTTGTCTAGCATTTAGATACTGGTTTTTCTTGTCCTAATACATAACCATACATTCACAGATATGCAAGATTCTTTTTGGGGTCAAAAATCAAACACACGAAAATAGAGGGGAAGTAATAATTGATTTGATTAACAGTGTATTAAAAATCGCGATGTTTTCTTTCATATCGTTGGGTAGAAGAATAAAATAATATTTCAGTTGTTTTACAAACAATAACACATTTAATTTGCTGTTTGAGTTTGCACTCTTATAATAATAAGGTTAAAGTTCATATAATATATATACTACGAAATTGATACTTCATTTTTTTCTTGCTATATCTATTCAAGTTAGTTGTAGATCAAGGTTTCAGAACTTTCATTTTGACAGGAGAAAGGCCAACAAATCCATTTCAGTTCAGTCCGTGCAAATAACGGACTGTCCAAACTGACCATTGAGATTTGACCTTTGACACGCGTTGTACCACCACCCCTCTACTGAGTAAAGCACAGTTGTGACCACTATCCAGATCATTGTCCCGGTCATTGGTTGTAAATTTTATTCCATCGCCGCACTCCGTGCAACTTCCGGTAGAGGTGAAAGGATCTCCTGTTTGGAAGAATATATTTAAACTTGCATATCATCTTGGATTGTTTTACGCCAAAATGATTGAGATGGGATATTTGGACTTTTTCTGTAACGAAAACAGGAGGAGTAGACTATATGTAAATCATCTCATCTAAAATTTTCAGATTATCAAACACCTTGAATTCTTTTATCCCATGAGAGTTTGTTCATTTGTTTCTTTGTTTGTTTAACGTCCGTTTGAGAGTTATTACTCATACTTAAGACGCCATCACTTGCCGCTGTAGTCGGCACTAATAACTTTTGGACAATGAGGGATCTTTTCACATATAGCTATACGGGACGTTGGTTTACACGGTCTCATCCGAAACTCCCTTTGTCCTGTAGTTTAAATCGAAACTGCGACGTAAGGATCAAATCTTTTCTCCACGAGCTCTAACCACTACATCACGCGGGCGTGTAAAGTTCATTTGTACAATCTATATGCTGGTATAAAGTTACACATTCCTCTTATTTCTGTAAAATGATCCTTGGAAAATCTATACTACAGGGAATTAAAATTAAACATATCATACACCTTTATGAATCTACTTTATTATCACGTTCTCTCATTATCTTTCATCGTATTATTATTAAAATACTTAGATTATTAACAACAAAGAGATTTATCAACATCTCCGTTCCAGTAATTATTAAATGCCGTTTTCCTTATATCTACGAGATAAACAAGACACTGTGCATATAATCTTTAAGCAAAAGCTAAACACGTACCGACTGAATGCAATCTTTAAGCTTTTTAAATTTACATCTATTTTCGTCAATAGATGTTGGTTATGCTCAGCTAAAAAAACGAAGTAAACTACCGGTATTGACCTGTCGACAGGGGATGATTACTCTTTGATGGTACCTGAGACCGCCTCTTTTGTTTAAAAGGTCCTTGTTTGCTCTGTGTCCGATTTGTATTGTTATTCAAACAAGGGAGGAAGTGGAACTCCCTAATTTTTTTAAACAAGAACGCCTAAGATAAAATAATTTTAAAGGTTTATTAGGTCATGGACTGGTTTTCTTATTTACCAGTCATGCAGTTAATTCAAACTTTCCTTAAGAATGCAACTTTTTTTCGTTTGCCCAATCATGTCAAGGAGCATATAGCGAGTGTGGTTGGTCAACAGGGAATGCCTACTCAATGGCACCTGATCCCACTTCTGATGTTTTTAGAGGTCCGTATTTTGCTCAACTCTCAATTTGTATAGCTTCAATGGACGGTTTGGATTCTTTGCTGTTTGTTACCTTCATATTACATTAAATTAGACCTTTGCTTCACCTTTCGAAAGGCACAGTACTTTATCAATTAACAAAGAAGGTCATATTGTCAAAAGTATCTCTAAAATATTGTGGTCTTCACTTCAACATTTAGATATATCGACGACGTATTATCAATTAACAATATCCATTTCCATTCTTACGTTGATTCGATATATCTCAGTGATTATTATCATGCATCTCTATGTTATACTTTTTTTTATTTTCCTTTCAGTAAGACCGAAAATTCCGGAAATTGCCAAGATTCCAAATACAAAGGAGAACGATCAGATAATGGTCACGTGTTCATCTTCCTGGGGTCGTCCTCCTGCATCACTATGGTGGATATTCCGGGAAACATACTTAAAATCAACGTTTGTTTCCTCTACAATCGACTCTTTAACTCAAACGTACACTGTGGATGCTACGTTAAACATTACAGTAAACAAAGAAGACTACGGAAAGACCATCATATGTATGGCAAATAACTCACTTGTACCAACTGGTTTTCAGTCATCCCAGAGGCTGACGGTGGTCTGTAAGCTGTCATTTAAAAACACTTATTACGATTACCATAAATAAGGTCTTACAAAATGTAACGTTTTGTTTCAGGTCCACATTTTTCAAATATTTATGAAAACTTCCTCTATCAAACCGGTTCTGAGTTGTTTACTGAAACTTTGCCAGTTTTACATATCTATGACTTACATTAACTCAATCAAAATCTACCATACATTGCTTCTCCTTTGTCTAATAATAAGATTGCAAACACATAAGTGATGTAAGATAAACAACTCTGCACCCTTAAGGCGTACTTCCAAATATCAATGGTATCGATATAGATGTACAGGAAAAGACTTTTTACATACATACTAAAGAAATAAAAATACCAAAACACAAATACCATTTCACACACACACACACACACACCCTCACACACACAAGGAAACTTTCAGTACAAATCTGGAACAAATATTGAATGAGATGTAGCTGCAACTTCACAAAATTTTCACATGTACATGTAGTAATATTTTTATGATCTTTGTGGAGTGTACATTACAAAAACATGGATTCAGCTGATAGTAGTTGATTTTCTTTTAATACCTATCTTTTTAGTTATGCAATTCAGAGGTTCATGTACAGTTGCAGATGGCACACAATAAACTGATATGATAAATGTCATCAAGATTATTATCTTTAATCTATACAGTGATAAATTTCAGAGCAGATATTTGATTTTTTTTACTTGACTGTTTATCAACTGCGCAACAAACAGATTATCATTTGTATCTGTATACAGTCCCTGTGGTTCACTCAGTCCACAGTCTATGTATCGGAGGAATTGTCCATCCTGGTCTATGATGTGGACACAGCCATTGATATCATCAGCGGTAAGGATGTGACTCTGACTGTCTGTAGTGATTCCTAGTGGATTGAATGCCTTTTTCTTTGGGGAAGGATAATGTCCATAGTACCTGAATCTCAGTTTCCCGGCCTGATTGACCACAACTACAGCTCTAGCATCACAGTCAGCAACACAAATATCCAGATTTCTATTCTCTGAGATGTTCTTATCTATAATAAAAGCATTAAAACTCTTTGATGAATAGAGAGGTTTACCTTTATCATCATGTTGAATGGTTTGTTTCTCTTTGGAGCCAGAATAACGGACAACTTTTGATTCTCTACATGTACCATCACCATGAAAATAATACATATCATTATTCATGGTTACCAGAAGGTCACCGGAGGAGGTACTACAGACACCAAAAGGTCTCCAGTTATTGCCAGGTCTGATCACCTCCTTCTCTATCTTCTTACTCTTCACAATGGTCACAGTTCCATTATGGTAGTCAGTATAAACTAGATCTCCATCTTGTGTCACTGCTATGGCTGTCGGGCTTTCTCCTGACTTGGTTGTGATTGAATTGAGAAGTGATCCCTGGTTGATGCTGAACAGTTTCATGGTGCTGTCATTTCCATTTCCTTTTGTCCAGATTTCTTCATCATTCAGACAGGCCACATCGTTAAGGATTCCATACTCAGTGTTTATGGTGGTGACAGTCTCTGGTTCATCAAGCAGCAGTTTGACTGGAGGAGAGGATCGAGTTTCTGGTGATTTCTGTGTTGTCTTCATGCTGTAGCCATGTTTATCTGATGTAGGAGAATCTATTGATAAGGCTCCAAACAGTTTATCCAGTTTTTTTCCTTCGATTTTTCCTGCAATGAATTTGGGTAAAGCTGGTGCAATTTTTTGTGGAAGATTTCTGTATATATTTATCTTAGATGTGACACTTAACTGTTTGGACAAGTCATTAGTGTCTATAGCAATATCAATTGAATCGATCTCATCCTTGATGTCAGAAATGTTCTTGTTTATGTTATTCAGATGTTTCTGCAGAGTTTGTAACTGTGCGTTTTTCATTTCATCAACCTCAGACTGAAGTTTCTTGACAAGTTTGTCAATTTCTCTGTGCCAGTTCTCTCCATGTTTTTTAATGGCTTTTGAGAGATCTCCATATTCCTTTTCTAACTGACTCATTCTGTTTTGTACCTCAGAGGCAATGTTCTGATAAGTTGGATAAATTGTCTCATTTAATTCAATCTGTTCTTTGATGAATTTAGCCTTTTTTTCAGCCACAATTTGTAAGATTTCTGATACTTTATGACCAAGATGTTGATCAGTTGCAATGCACTTTGTACATACAGGAATGTCACATAAGTTACAGTACATTGTATTTTCCCTTTTATTATGTTTTTTACATCTGGGGTAGAGGGGAATGGATTTCCTTGCCTGAAATTTGACAACTTTATGTTCATTGGATTCACCTGTTGAGATATGTTCTCCCACACAGGCCTTACACAGGTTGACAAGACATGTAGCACAGTGCATCTGTACTACAGCGGTCTCACAAAAGTCACATCTCATTACGTCCTGGGCAGTGGTACGGGGATCCATGATTAAATTTGTGACTCTGAAGTATAAATAGATATAAATAGAGTTGAGAGTGTGTACAAGTTATTGAGTAAGATGACAACAAAAATCCGAGATATTATACAATTCCCTACAAGTATTAAATAATTGATTCTTTTGGAATTAAACTCAGTACAATTCAAGAATAATTATGTGTCTTGTATAAATGTTTGGAAAATGATGGAATTATATGGAGAATTCTATTGTCAGTTTGTACATATAGCAGGTTGTTTTTGATTCACAAATTTATTTAAACAATAAAATGCTTTCTTTGGTTGTAAGTACGGGAATTAATGTCGCAGCTATTGCAGAAAAAAAACATAACCCGCGTAAGCGGGTTATGTAAATTTTTTCTGCAATAGCTGCGATGATAATTCCCGTACTAACTACCAAGGAAAGACATTTTATTGTTTATATTTATATCTGTATAAATAATCGTTTAAAGTAGGATTTAAAAGATTGATTATTGTACTATTGATATGTACGTCATTGTACGTTTCATTGATGGAGGAGCCACTGATCAAGAAATTCGTACAGGTGATATGCCTAGTGTTGTTCACGAACTGATAAACGGCAATGATTTACTTTTGAAATAAAGTAGAAAATATTCAGTGGATGTAAATATATGTTTATTAAGTGACTCTACAAAAACTTTATGGTCCCATAAATACCGGGTAACCCTTTACTAGTAAAAATGTACATTGTCTGAAAGAGTGCTTTGAAACAAGGGAAAATATTTGAATATTTGAATTTACAGTAACCTTCACAGTAACAGTACGTGTTGGTTGTAATATCTATATGATATCTATATAACAGAGTTGTTCATATATCTACTGCCAGCGTAAGATTTCAATTGTGCAGATTAAGCTTTTTCATGAAAATGATATGAAAGATTAAAAGACAGATTTACAGACTAAGTTTATTCAGAAAAGTGTCATTGAGATAGGGTCAGATGTCTGTATTTTAAGAGGTGAACTCAAAAAACATCGTGTTTTATAAATTAATTGATTTTCCTTATTGTTAGCAAAATGTCTTAGCAATGCAATGTTGGAAAATTATACTTATCGAGGTAAACATAAAAATTATGAACTCATCCAAACATTACCTGAAGTGAGATGGTAATGGCTGCCAATTTGTTTATGGATTTTGTATCCAGGTCACATGGCCTGGTTACCTGTGTTATCTACCTGTCATGTATTTATACTTGGGGATTTAATTTCATCTCTTTGAATCTGTGAAACATGGCTTACTGCATACCTTCTGATGTTTAATTATAAAGAAGACCGTAAAAATTGTCAAATGACCAGCTTTCTAACCCTGGCAACCTCCAGCTGTCCAACCACACACACACACACACACACACACACACACACACACACACACACACACACAAAATAGATTTTCCACTGTTGCAGTTTTTCATTGTTATATATAATATTTGATATATTATACAGTCATGTATTTATCCTTTTTTCCTGTTTAAGAATTTCTGAGCTGGATTTTTTGAGCGGATATCAACACCACCAACCAATCCAACCCCTCCCCGAAAATTCCTGGATCGGCATTTGAATTTATTATTAAATGAATTCTTTTTAAGCTTTTCTTGAAGCTAAAGATACATTGATTAGTCCTCATTTCTAAAGATATGTCAGTTTTCAGTACGATTTTCAGTTTTCAGAAGGATCTGTTTTATATCATTTCAATTGTATTGCTGTCGCCCGCTCGGCGAAGTGGTTGGAGCGTTTTCTTTTGAGTCGCGGAGTAAGGAGTTGATCCTTACGCGCGGGTTCGAATCCCACTACGGGACGTGGAGACCAGTACTTTGGATGAGACCGTATAAACCGAGGTGACAAACATAACATTGGTACACTGAACGTACTATGACTTTTTTCTTTGGTAAAATATTAATCTTTTGCACTTTGTTTGCAAGGGAGATTTATTGTTGCCTCGGTAACAAATGATACAAAGTTCGATACTCTTCTCCATTCTTAATATATACGATCATTAACATAATTGGACAATTTTTTTCAAGATATACGAGAAGCTCTCTCAGTTGAATCCTCTTTACTGATGGTTAACACGTTAACACGTAAATACTTATTAAGATATATGTTGTTTGTTGTTTGCTGAAAGTTGTTACTATGGGTATACTTCACATGTATTACATTTTTATTACATTTTGTTAAATTGCAATTTTATGACAAATTTAAATAAGCTTTTACAACTGTAAAAAGGTGGGGGGTGGGGGGAGATACCCGAACAAAAATGTACACATGCATCAGAAGTTTTTTTAAACAGAGAATAAACATAATTAAACATATATAAATAAAAGACTCCAAACGTGAAAAATCTATTTTGTGATTGTCTGTGTGTGTTTTGTGTATAAGAGTAATCTCGTTATTAATTCTAATCTTGTCAGACGTACAAGCCTCAATGAAGGTCTTTTGTACGACTTATTATCTTGTAATAATAACAACTTACTATATGTTTTTCGTACGGCTAAGTATCGCATTCGTGTAGCTAGAGCATACGGAAACGTATGACGTCCTCGTGATGTTTCGTAATACCTAAAAATGTTTGAGGAACTTATTAACTTTTAATTACGACTTATTATCTCGTTATCACTGCTTAGTATCTCGTACGTACGACTTAGTATCTCGTTACTACGACTTATTATGTCGTTCGTACGAATTAGTATCTCGTTACTACTACGTACGATATAGCAAAAAAAAACTTCAGCTGGCATCTTTACGCTTCCGTATATTGTATAAAAGAAAAGCACAAAAAGTGTTCTGTTGACAAAAACATTATAAAGTTTGTTTCTATCGCAGTTGGAAGGACGTGCAAATGCTATTTAGAGGGATCAAATCTAAAAATAATATGTCTTAATGCTTTTGATATTCAGGTGATCGTCAAAGCCTACGAACGTCATGTACTGTGGAGTCATTAGATTTTGCGGTGGCTCAATTTTCATGGAATTCGTGGGTACCTCTCATCCACGAATTAAGATCTTCCAGGAATTAATAAACTAGGGATACAAAGTCATATTTCATTCTGTACGTCCCCACGAATCTTAAAAATTTAAGCAATCCACGAAAATTGGCCCCCATCAATTTTAATTTTTCCGCAGTATATGCATGTACATGTATAATTTTTTTTCAGAATGTCTTCTTCAGATTCCCCATGTATATCATTTCGAGAAGAAGGAAATAAAGCATACACGTAAAACGTCAGCAAGTATTCAAGGCCTTAATCCAACTATTCAAGCCGAGAGACTGAAAACAGCAAGGAATTTGTACTATAGGTATGTTTAGAAATACAGTTTAATGCAAATACATATGTACCCGAGTCGCAAAATTAAAAATTCGGAAAAAAAAAAATTAAAAAGTAAATTTGTCATAAATTTGTGGAGACGAACAAGGATTTATATAAATATATATATATATATATATATATATATATATATATATATATATATATATATATATATATATATATATATATATATATATATATATATATATATATATATATATATATATATCCAAAATTGAAATAAAGTCTCAGTAATCGGATTACAATATTAAACAAATATAAAAAGAAAACACAAGAATCCTCCGTAAAGCTTTAGCGCTTTCATTAAAAATCTTCAGAAGCTTTACATTACAAAAATGTATACAACGGTAACATAGTAACAATGATTATGACGTTAAACTAAGCGGAACGTTTAATGTCTATATTGTGACGTCATAGATAAAATACTGCAATGATGATGAAAAAGTTCGGGAAAATCATAGGTAGTTTATAAGAGACTATTAAGTTTTGGCTTTAGAATACAAATAAAATGTTTTTCTTTTTCCCGTCTCTGGATATCACTGGCACATCTGAGTTTATAAAAAGGGAAAATGTTAAATCGTTTTTTTCCACAAGTTTCGAGGTGTGCACTTAACTGGATTTGTCTATATTCAGGTGTACTGATGTGTTGCTTATGTACACGTACACGGGCACGGAGACTGTTGCCAGTTTCACCAATATAATATTCTTTGCATCCAGGACATATGATGGCGTATATGACATCTTTCGTATCACATGACATGTTGGCATTAACTTTAAATTCACGCCCGTTAAAACTATAACTCGTCCCTTCTGTAATGTAGTCACATGTGCCGCAGCGAGGGTCCGTACACTTTGACACTGTATAATTATGGTCAGCGAATTGGGAGGAACAAAGTATTCTCTTAAGGTTTTTGGGCTGACGTTTACTGCTGATAAAACGACAGTTTTTGTATGTAGTTTTCGTTTGTTCATCCTCTCTAAGTAAGCTATTTAATTCATAAACAATTGAATTGATGTTTTTATTTCTCGGATTGTACGTGTGAACAAAGGGTATAGTTTCTCCGTCCTTCGCTCGTCGTGTGTTTGAAAGTAATTGTGTTCTATCACACTCCTTGGCTTTCATAATACTATTATCTACCAGTTGCTCTGGGTATTTTTGGCTCAATAAATACAATTTTAATTCCTCCAAACGGATATCCCTCGTATTAATATTGCTCACAATGGTACAGATCCTTCTTGCGAGATTATATGGTATAGCCGTTTTAGTATGGTGGGGATGGCACGATCCGAAATGCAGATATTGGTGTGTATCTGTCGGCTTATAGTATATATCCGTATTTAACCTGGTATTATCTTTTGATATAAGAACATCGAGAAATGGCATTTGCGTATCATCTGTTTCCATCGTGAATTTGATATCCGAGTTCATTTGGTTTAGTAGATCGTAAAACTCCGATAATTTGTCGACATCATCATCCCATAAGATAAAACAGTCGTCTAAAAATCTTTTCCATTTAGACTGTATATTATTTGCAGATTCTATTCCCCACAACGAACATAATTGTTCATGTAACTTATGTTCTAAATAACCTAAGGTTAATGTTGCATAGGTAGGTGCAACTTTCGTCCCCATTGCAGTTCCCTTAGTTTGAAGGTAATGATGGTCAGAAAAAGCAAATGAATTGTTTTCTAGAACTAATTTAAGTGCTTCTAAAATAAAATTCTGTTGGAATCTGTCATTTAGTATATCGGGATAACTTTCCATCCAAAATTTTACAGCTTCCAATCCTAATTCTGTAGGAATATTAGTATATAAACTAACGACATCAAAAGTGACAAGTTTTGTGTTACAGGTGATCTGAGTAGGTAAATGATTTATGAAATCCAGATCGTCTCTTACAAAGCTGGGTACTTTTTGACAATATGGTTTTAAAATTATATCCAATAAGTGACTCAGTCTTTGTGTTGATGAGTTTGGTCCTCCTACAATGGGTCTGAAGCATAAATCACCTGGATCAAGACACGTAATACATACACTATTTTGATTTGCTATGGCGTCCTTAATAATTTTAGACTTAATAATAATCCTACAGTTACAGGGGATTTCCCTACGGAAAATGCGCCTGAACCATCGTTTTCTAAAGGAATAAAATCATTTTCGGGAAAACGAAAAACCGCAAATAAGAATCAATACGAGAATTCTGAATCCAGAAGTAAATCTTCTCGTAGTGCTTTTCCACAAAATCAACAGATTCCTAAGTACCACAAAGGCATAAAAAGACGGAATCAGGGCAATAACAGACAAAATGAAAATTACCGAGGATACATGTACGTTAGAAGTAGGCGTCCACCAAACTTTTACAGAAACGAAAGAACTACGTATATTGGAAGAGGGGTACGCAATTATTTTTTAGGAGGAGGCAAAATGAACCAAGGCCAAAGATACAAGAACCAATTACCACAATTGTTAACAACAACAATTCCAGGGGTGCACCCAGGAATGTAATTAAAATAGAACCAAAAGTATTTAATCTTTCCGACAGACATCTGACGGATTCCGAAATCAAATTACTGTCTAAGGGTCTTAAATACATCCCTACACCTCATGTAAATAATCAAGAGCTTAAAACGGATATTAAAGCCTATACTCGACGACTCAGGCTATATGAATATTTTCATGAAAGTGATACCAATGAATCTGATTCCGAGTCTCAAGAAGCAGAACAAATAGACCTGGTAAGAAACAAATCTAAGTTTAATCCAAAACGAGGAAGAAATCGAACTTTGGATGCCGTTTGCGACACATTAGAAAATATTCATTTTCCAAACAAACCCAGAAATATCAAACCCAACCTTTCTAAGGAAGAGGAAAAAGCTCTTAAAAGCCTATGCGATGACCCTACTATCATTATTAAAGAGACTGATAAAGGAGGTGGAGTTGTGTTAATGAATAAGGATTTTTACAAAAATAAAATCTTACAAATGTTACAAGACAACAACTTTTATGAAAGACTGCACAATTGTCATGAGAAGAAAACAATTACTAAAATAAAAAAGCTGGTATATGGACCACTATCGGAAGGTTTAACAGATAAAGAACAGGACTACCTGACAAACTTTGAATTCCGAGAGAGCCAATTCTGTGGTTTACCTAAAGTTCACAAGTCTAAAATTATTAAGGACGCCATAGCAAATCAAAATAGTGTATGTATTACGTGTCTTGATCCAGGTGATTTATGCTTCAGACCCATTGTAGGAGGACCAAACTCATCAACACAAAGACTGAGTCACTTATTGGATATAATTTTAAAACCATATTGTCAAAAAGTACCCAGCTTTGTAAGAGACGATCTGGATTTCATAAATCATTTACCTACTCAGATCACCTGTAACACAAAACTTGTCACTTTTGATGTCGTTAGTTTATATACTAATATTCCTACAGAATTAGGATTGGAAGCTGTAAAATTTTGGATGGAAAGTTATCCCGATATACTAAATGACAGATTCCAACAGAATTTTATTTTAGAAGCACTTAAATTAGTTCTAGAAAACAATTCATTTGCTTTTTCTGACCATCATTACCTTCAAACTAAGGGAACTGCAATGGGGACGAAAGTCGCACCTACCTATGCAACATTAACCTTAGGTTATTTAGAACATAAGTTACATGAACAATTATGTTCGTTGTGGGGAATAGAATCTGCAAATAATATACAGTCTAAATGGAAAAGATTTTTAGACGACTGTTTTATCTTATGGGATGATGATGTCGACAAATTATCGGAGTTTTACGATCTACTAAACCAAATGAACTCGGATATCAAATTCACGATGGAAACAGATGATACGCAAATGCCATTTCTCGATGTTCTTATATCAAAAGATAATACCAGGTTAAATACGGATATATACTATAAGCCGACAGATACACACCAATATCTGCATTTCGGATCGTGCCATCCCCACCATACTAAAACGGCTATACCATATAATCTCGCAAGAAGGATCTGTACCATTGTGAGCAATATTAATACGAGGGATATCCGTTTGGAGGAATTAAAATTGTATTTATTGAGCCAAAAATACCCAGAGCAACTGGTAGATAATAGTATTATGAAAGCCAAGGAGTGTGATAGAACACAATTACTTTCAAACACACGACGAGCGAAGGACGGAGAAACTATACCCTTTGTTCACACGTACAATCCGAGAAATAAAAACATCAATTCAATTGTTTATGAATTAAATAGCTTACTTAGAGAGGATGAACAAACGAAAACTACATACAAAAACTGTCGTTTTATCAGCAGTAAACGTCAGCCCAAAAACCTTAAGAGAATACTTTGTTCCTCCCAATTCGCTGACCATAATTATACAGTGTCAAAGTGTACGGACCCTCGCTGCGGCACATGTGACTACATTACAGAAGGGACGAGTTATAGTTTTAACGGGCGTGAATTTAAAGTTAATGCCAACATGTCATGTGATACGAAAGATGTCATATACGCCATCATATGTCCTGGATGCAAAGAATATTATATTGGTGAAACTGGCAACAGTCTCCGTGCCCGTGTACGTGTACATAAGCAACACATCAGTACACCTGAATATAGACAAATCCAGTTAAGTGCACACCTCGAAACTTGTGGAAAAAAACGATTTAACATTTTCCCTTTTTATAAACTCAGATGTGCCAGTGATATCCAGAGACGGGAAAAAGAAAAACATTTTATTTGTATTCTAAAGCCAAAACTTAATAGTCTCTTATAAACTACCTATGATTTTCCCGAACTTTTTCATCATCATTGCAGTATTTTATCTATGACGTCACAATATAGACATTAAACGTTCCGCTTAGTTTAACGTCATAATCATTGTTACTATGTTACCGTTGTATACATTTTTGTAATGTAAAGCTTCTGAAGATTTTTAATGAAAGCGCTAAAGCTTTACGGAGGATTCTTGTGTTTTCTTTTTATATTTGTTTAATATATATATATATATATATATATATATATATATATATATATATATATATATATATATATATATATATATATATATATATATATATATATATATATATATTTCTTATAAAACATCGAAGCCATGTTTAGTCATATTGATATGAAAGCATCCTCAGGTAGTGTAGATACAAGTTTGTTCCAATTTCGACCCTTGAGGAAGGATGAGATCACAATATCGATCAAAGTTTTACATGTATAAAGGAACATATAGTAGGAGAAATCTGCTGTTAAGAATATTAGGACTATATTGACTCAGATGAGCGTTTTGCTATGGAACGCCAAATTAACATATATTCAAATATTTGAACCTATCTTCAAATAATTGTACCTATCTTCAAATAATTGAACCTATCTTCAAATGAATTGAAGATAGGTACAATTGAATTAAAAATAGGTACAATTGAATTAAAGATAGGTCTAAATGAATTAAAGATAGGTCTAAATGAATTAAAGATAGGTGTAAATAATTAAACCTAGGTTCAAATAAATTACACCTATCTTTAATGGAATTACACCTATCTTTAATTCCATTGAAGATAGGTTCAATTGAATTATACCTATCTTTAATTCATTTGAAGATAGGTACAATTGATTTAAAGATAGGTACAATTGATTTGAAGATAGGTACAATTGAAACATATCCACAAAGGATTTGAAGATAGGTACAATTCAATTATACCTAGGTTCAATTCATTTTGTGTTATAGGAAATAATGAAAGCTACCTCTATCGACGACTTGAACATGGAGGGAACCGAACAAAGCATTTTTATGGGGAGTAGTTGTTATTGTAGTGTCTTTATAATTAAAGATAGGTTCAATTCAATTGCACCTATCTTTAAATCAATTATCCCTATCTTTAATTCATGGCATATGTACCTATCTTCAAATCAATTGTACCTATCTTCAAATCATTTGTCTTCAAATGAATTAAAGATAGGTATAACTGAATTAAAACTATCTTTAATTCATTTACAGATAGGTACAATTGATTTGAAGATAGGTACAATTGATTTGAAGATAGGTATAATTAATTGAAGATAGGTTCAAATATTTGAATATATGTTAATTTGGCGTTCCATATTTTGCGCATTGGCCTCTTGTTTAAAAATCAATCGAAGCCTTAAGTTGATACTGTATTTGATTTTCGTTTAGTTACCGAGTGGTATATTTCACACTTACCACAGTTAAGAAACAAACAAGGAATTGATGTCTTTGTGTGTGTGAGGGTGTATGTGTGTTAAGCAACAACAAAATGGGTTTCTTTAAATTCCTGTTTACTCGTTCATTACAGAAGTTACTCAGTGAGTGCAAATGAGGATGAGAAGTGTTCAGCAGCAAAATATCTGGCAATCTGTGAGTGGCGATTAGGAAAAATTGGCATCATGAGAAACGAAAAAACCGATTCTGTCCTTCATCAATTTAAAGAAGCCTTAAAGTATTATCAGTATGCATATGTTAAGGGTAGGAGTTCTAAGACTTCAATGTGGATGGAAGATATCACTTCTAAGTATGAGGAGTGTTTCAGAGATTTCGATGAGTACTTAAACGAAAGATCCTTTGAGACCAGAATAAGACACCTATCACAAATTGCAGATTTAATGTCCATTTCCAATATCCTTGCAACGATATATCTCGAGATTATTCAACATCACTTTCACGAAGGGATAAACGCATGGCAAAAAGGAAACGAGTTGATTTGCCAACAACATATGGCACAGTGCCACTTTCCGCTTCATGAGGCTCGCAAACATGGACAGTCTTTGAAAGAAGTTCAAAAAGAACTTGATGTGCTTGAAAACGATGTTCACATGCATTTGAGCATGACGGAATCTTTAAAAGCTCGCAATACAGGTATGATTCTGAACGAAATTGCTACAATAAAAATAGTAATGTATTATCCTCAACTTGCAGTTGTAAAGTGTATTAATTTTTCTTTCTTTAGCTTTTAAAATGGAATTTTCTATTGCTTGTTTTGAAAACTTTTCGGTTAGCTTTTATATACAAGTCCTTTTTATGTTTACAGATGGGTTATTGAGAAGAGTGACAGAAGATTTTGAGACACTGGACATTAATTTAGTGTGAGATATCATTGACTGGTACAGACAGTCAATTTTACTAGCAAAGGAATTGGATGTTGAACAAGAAGCCATCGCTCTAAGTAGAATCGGAAGGGTATATGCAAAGGTTCTCAAATTTAAGCCACAAGCAAAAGAGTACTTCAGACGTGCACTGCAGTTGGCTGCAGCAATGAAACCAAGAGTTTTTGTCCATTGCGGTAATTTTATACCTAAGTTACATCCTTCAGTTCTGTGCTCCTTTTTAATATAGCTTAGAAATATCTCATAAAGCAAGTTGGATTAATAAAAATATGGTCTAGTACAATATCCCCCAAAATAATTGTTTTGGTACAATCATCTTTTAAAAGCGTCAAATAGTCATTAAAAACAGGGGAAAAAAGGTATAAGAAGTATGCATGTTATTATAATGGTATGAAGACGTAGTTAAAATTATATAATAAAATAAGGAAGACATAACCCTAAAGCGTTCCTCTGAGCAACTTGAAAAAAAGGATAAATATGGATGTTGGTTTTAATCAATTATACCTTTATGTGATATGGAATATTCAAATTATACACAAGATGGTAATTTTGGAATAAAAATCTAAGTCTGGGTCAGTAATAATATACCATATTTGATTCGAGTGCATATCCAGGATTGAGTGGTCTGGGCGCTTTATAACGAGGGGTATTGTGACCCCCAAGTTCTCTCAGGGGTCAACGGCAGTGCCACCTGGATGAGATTTGGAGGGTGTGAAGCCATCATAATCTCCTTTGAATATTCTTGTAAAAAAGCATAAAAAGTCTGTGATTTTGATCCTATTATTTGATTTTAAATTTAATCTAATTACATTAATTTAGTGTAAACCAAAGGAATCAACATGTTTACCTACATTATAATATTTGAGGGATGGGAGAGGATCCACCCACGCCTGAACCCCTGCCTGGATTATATTTAAAAATTATACTCTAGTATTCTGTTAAAGTGTACATCTTATATTGTTAGTTAAGTAATTATTTCATGAGAGAGAGAGAGAGAGAGAGAGAGAGAGAGAGAGAGAGAGAGAAAGAGAGAGGTGGAGGAAAGTAATATAAGTTGTCAAATTATTTTATTCGACTAAATCTTTATCTTGTAGACTGGTACAATGAATGCGTTGAAACAATGAAGAAGTACCAAGAAGAAACAATCAGCCATGAACAAGAGGTAAAAGACAAGGAGAGACAAAAGGTAAAGGAAGAAATGAAAGATGAACTTTTAGAAATGGAGAAGAAAAACTCCGGAATGACCAATGTCCAGTTTTTAAGATATATTTACGAAAAATACCCTACTGGAAATACGATGAAAGAGGAAGAAAATTCGGCAAGCATGAAGAAAGCTCTACTGAAGGCAATACTCCATTATCATCCCGACAAAGTTAATACAGAAGAAAAGGGTTTAAAATGGAAGATCTTAACAGAAGAAATAACCAAGTATCTCAATGCAAGATATGAGCCATTGAAATCCACTACTGTGTAATTCGATTGATTAAGGAATGTATATCTACTATAACTTAACATATTTCCCTTTATAATTAACGATTTTTCACTGTTTAAAGATACAGTATTCTTGTAGTAAACTTTTGTTTTCTATAGCTATAAAAAAAAAACCTGATAACAAGTGTCCACTGGCAAACTGAAGAAATATAACTCAGAAAATTTATGTTAGTATATGTTAATAATTTCTGTGTTGAGCTATGCTGCTTTGATTTTTTTCCAGTGTTATAGTTACAAGTCAGAGGATTATTAGATTAGGGTTGTTCTGGTCTCCATAGGAGTAAGACATACTAATAGTAATTTACTTATTTAGTATTTGATTTTTTTCCATAAAATTACATCTAAAATGTATTAGACGATTTAAAACGTGATTGTGAGGCCACGTTTTATACGCGGATTGAAGAATACATCAAATTCCAATTATTAATTATCTTTGTATATCTTGTAAAATCTGTACTTTTGAAATCTATTGAATTCTATTATATACTACTATTATATACAATCTTTACTATTGAATAAATTACAAAACAGCATACATTAATATACAATCTGTGCTTGAACGATTTTCATTTTTAATTGTTACGCTGTAGATAATCCAAAAAAGAAAAATCAACCCTATTAATTGCTTTAATCTTACACATGATATTCAGAAAACAATTCACACATTTAGATCAGAATGTTAGAAACTCTAATTTTCACTTAAAACATTAGTATGCAAGGGGCTTTGATTTAGATTTGTAAGCTTTTTTTGTTCTCTAACTAGAACTATGTGTGATGACTTCACTTTAAACAAATTACGATATAGAGTGAAAAAAAACCCTCAAATCTGTTGGTAAGTTGGATAATTAGGACATGTGTTGTATAAAAGTAAAACCACGACTTTCCCATGTCCATTTTGGGTACAGTAGGAATGATAAATCCAATTATAATTTAAGAAATCAATAATTAGTTTACAAACAAAGATATATAGCGGGTTCCAGTAAATGTTCTATCAAGCCTCTTTTTTTACTTCTCACTAAAATATTATCAGCAGTGACGGAGAAACTTCAGGAATACTGTGCAACAATATATTCGAGAAGTGGTGTAAATCGGATGAGGATACTTAAAAATTCCAAGGAACTTTTGGAAAATTTGAAATCACAATATTTTACCAAAATCAATAACAGCAAAACTTACGACTTTTTAACCTCTATTTACAACCATTCCCCACGATAAATCAAAGTCCAGGCTTTTTTAAAAGAAAAATTGAACTCGTAAATTTACTTACCTTGTCATTGGTCATTTCCAAAATTTACATAAACTACCTTGATCAAGGTATTTGTAATACCTTGATAAAGCTATATAGCTTTATCAAGCTATAAACCTTTATCAGGGTATTGTGCTGGACTTGTAATAGGCGAGTATATACGGAGTAGAAAGAAATATCAAATAAAGTGCATGCATATGCAAAAAGTTAGGGAATTAAGGAAGAGTTAAATAGCTACCCAAGTGATAAGTTAAAAACTGGGTTGGGACAGTTTATGCTTAATGAACCGCGAAGCGGTTTATGAAAAAAGCGTAAACAGTAATTTGTGGGTAGTTTTCATGGGTAGTACATGAGTATTTTTCAAATAAAAAAAATCTCTAAACTATAATTGGATTACTGTATGACTACACGTGTATCTTAAATTGATTATTTTCAACAAACTGGCATCCTATTCTGCAAACCTCACCCAAGGTTGAACGTTTGTATATTTTGAATTTGTGATCATTACCTACAATTAAAAGTAAACGATGGTATTAGTATTTTATATATTAAACAGAATTTCCAAAATAAAGTAACTGACAAGAAATTTGTGATGGGTATGATATACACATTTATCATAAAATTGAAATAATGTCTTCCAAAAAGCAGTCTTTTCTAGGAAAACGAAAGATAAATCAGAAAAACGTTGTTTTTTTTTTAATTGCGCAATTCAACGTCATTTTGACGATACCGATATTGACACCAAAAGTACGCTAATTGCAAGCATTTTTGGCGCATTTCAAACATCTTTTATTCAACACTCACATGCTAAAGCATGTTGTTTTCATAACATGAATAGAAGATTACTCTTCTTACTACATGATTATACATTTGTTAATTCTTCTTGAGAAGGCCTACGTTCTCTCTATCCTTAATTATCTTCTATACTCAACATACTTTACAGTACTTTATTTCAGCTTAAATTGCGGTAATTAACAATAATCACTTTTCAGGCATGCTAAATGATACTGATAATTTAAACTCTATTTTTTTTTTTTTTTTTTTTTTTTTTTTTTGCCATTGCAACTATAAAAATAAGATGTCAGATTAAATAGTGTTTATATTATTCTCAATTTTGCAGAAGATCTGACGCTTTAAATATTGTAATTATTAGAATCATTATAACTTTCGTTTAGATTGTTTGTTTGCTGTTTTACGTCCCATTCGAGAATTTTTCACTCATATAGAGACGTCACCATATATACCGGTGAAGGGCTTCAAATTTTGACCTTTACTCGGCACTCAGGGCCATTGAGCAGTGAGGGATCTTTATCGTGCCAACGGCTGCCGTGACACGGGGACTCGGTTTTTAAGGTCTCATCCAAAGGACCCGCAACTTTCACTTCAAAGTGCCGAGCGCATGGCGGAGGAACAGTTCCTACTCATTTTTTATCGACTTAGGTCAGTCGCGGCCGAGATTCGAACTCACGACCTCCCGATGACGGAGCGAGCGCTCTACCGACTGAGCTACCGTGAACGGTAACTTTCGTTTAGAGAGGGAGATACTATTCTTAAGAAAATTTTCAAATGTTTGTTTCCTATTTATTCCTATACAATCTTTGATTTCCCCCTGAGACCCTACCCTGCCCCAGTGGTCATGATTTGAATCAACTTGAATCCACTCTACATGTATACCTATAATGAAGCTTTCAAATAAATTTCATCTTTTCTGGTCCAGTGGTTCTTGAGAAGATCGATTTTTTGAAGAATGTCAATTAAAATTTTACAAATTATAAAATATCTCCTCTTAGAAGTGGTCGTTTGGAAAGTTTGGAAAGTTTGATTGAAAATGACATAGTGATTCTTGACAAAGAGTCGAAATGTGAAAAGTTTACAGACGGACAGATGGACGACAGATAAAAGGTGATCATGCACTTGTGCTTTTAGCTCAAATGACCTAAAATAACATTGTATATATTAAACATAACAAGGTTATAGTTATAATGTAAGGGTTATAGTTATAGTTTAACCGAAAGATAAAGCCAAAAATCGTAATTCGTTGCGCATTTTACGTCATTTTGACGTTACCGATATTGACACCAATAGCGGTGCGCGTCGTCAAAGCAATTTATCGCATATTAAATATTTTTTTAATATAACAAACACTACAAAATATAAACAAGGAAGTACCAAAGGATAATGGAGAAGACTTCACACAGATCAAGGTCTTTCATTTCTTGTTTATTTTCGTTTCTTCTTCAAGTCTGTAGGTTGCGTTTTGGTACGTACAATATATCCAAAGGCCGCATTCATTTATATATTTTTTATATGTATTTTTGTTTTCAGACTCTCTCATAAGTGTTTTCTTTTTGCTTCTCATTTATTATGTATAGTCTATGAAATTCCATTACTGTCATCAATACTTTTATTATGAAGACATAAAAGAAGAGCACAGGTAAAGAGATTTGATAATTGTATTGAGTTAATAGAAAGCCTTTTACATTATTTTCAGATACATACAGTCAAGTAGTTTTTATGAAATCTATCAATTGATAAATAATGGGGTCTTGTGTCTTTCATTTCTCATTTACATCAAAATAATCTTCAACATTTAGAATGATTTATACTTATTTATTTGCAATTAAAGGATAGAAACTTATTCACTATTCATTGTTCACTATTCGAACAGAGAATCGTATTCTGTGATGGATTCACTAATCAAAATATCGTAAGTGTCATAATTTTAAAAAATCGAGAAACTAGATTGCTAACTTTGATACTTTGGATATTAAAAGAAGAATTAACTTAAGAATAATAAAAACAATTACCCCAAAATGATTTTCCCCCGGGTTTTTATGATTTCTCAAGACCTTACCCTACTTCTCCTCTAATATCAAAATTTATAAAACGTTTAGATATCATTGGTACGTGTATATTTTGTAATATAATTCAGAATGTATAACCTTTAATTTATTTTTAGAACATTGAACTGCATGTTATTCAAAACTATTTTTAAGTCTGCAGTCAATCAAATAATGCCGTCACCTACGGACTGGAAGGAGGGACGATACGATTGATATGCCCTTTATCACCACCAGACGTACATGGACAAACAGTTTGGGATGGACCACCTTCGATGTCTGTCTACTTTATAAATGAGGAGAAAAACCCTAAGCTGTCCAGAGGAGAACGTTTGACAGTGGTGAGGAATACACAGACAGGGGGATACGACCTCCAGATAACGGGACTCACCAGAGAGGAGGACGTGGGGCAGTACTCGTGTGATGTAAACACAATCCCAGCAAAACAAAACATGATGTATCTGAAATTATACTGTAAATATCTATGTTTTCAGAATATTGTTCTTTTCCTGTAGTATTAGTTGAAAATTGAAGATGTCTTTCTTGTTTAAGTGTATTTGTTTAAGTAGTGAAATATTGAAAATGTCATTTCACTTTTATAAATCCTTTAAAGTTTACAATATTTTTTTATTATAATAGTGCCTCCCTCCAGTATAAACATCGATGCCTATGATGTAGATGGCATCTTAAGAGTGAATGGTACAGAAGGCTCTTCTTTAACACTGTCATGTCAGTCATCAGGTGGTGATCCTCCTGCCAATGTGTCTTGGTATAGAGGCTCTGCATTATTATCCACTGGAATTAATGAGACAATGTACAGCTTTATTCCTACAAGCGACGATGACCTCAAGAACTACACATGCACTTCATTCTATCCAGCTTTATCACAACCAATGAGGAGAAATGTTCAATTACTCCTTGGTCGTAAGTACATGGTCTTGAATATCATTTTTAAACTGAATCCAGGTCCAGTTGAAAAAAGGTTTTTCAAACTGTGAAACAATTATTTACTATAATATCTCAACAATCAATGCGTTCATCTTAAACTATGTATATTCATATATATTCACCAGCTTCCCAAATTTTAGGGGAAAACATAACACGGACTCAGAAATACATCTTATACACCTCCATGGCACCTGATCCCACCTTTAAATTTTGAGGTCCGTATTTGCGCTGCTTCAAATTTTTATCGTTTCATTGGACTTTCGAGATTGAATACTGTTCTTCAGCTTCATATTTCAGTTTATTGAATCAGCAAAGGCAAAAATTATATATTCAATTTTATACCATGAATCAATTTCTCAAAGTTTAACCTGAAAAATAAAATATGGAATACATGAGTAGTTTTTTTTCTTCAACATGAACTGCGATGCAACTATGTACAACAGACACAATTCACGAAACATCTGGAAAACACTGTTTTGTCCAAATCTCGTAATTGCATAGCAATATAACCAAAAAGCTTCAAAATAAAAATTGAATCACACTTGATCGACAAATACCTATTCTCAGTCTTATTTTTCCTACCGCAAACGAAGTTTTTTCCTGACTTTTTTTAGAAGAATAGCAATAACTAAATAAAAATGGGGTAAATTTCAGGAAACTTGAATTTTGTTACCAGCTTGAATAACTACAAGACTATGTCAAATATCTAAATTTAATTTGAAGATCCCAAATTTGAAATAAAATCTCCTAGAAGCAAAGGATAGACAGACACACAGACAGAGAGTTACAGAGAAACATTACTAACAACTACATGACAATTTGACGTGTCATGTCACTAGAAATTAAATTGTACCTCTATATGACAGTGTTTATTTTTAAGGTATTATTTAATCAATACTTCATCAAGATGTCCATTTAAAAATTATAACATCGGCAAATGAGCAGGACACTTATAACAAAATTTAGGCAATAGAAAATAAAAGAGTATATCTACTTGACTAAGGAATAGTTTTAAGGTGAAGTATAAACAATGCATCTCATGTACTTCAGTTATTTTATTTCAGTGAGACCTGGTATCCCGGAGATTCCCAAGATTCCAAATACAAAGGAAGGCGATAGGATTACGGTCACGTGTACATCCTCGGGTGGTCGTCCACCTGCATCACTCTGGTGGATATTCCGGGGAACATACTTAAAATCAACGTACATTTCCTCTACGATCGACCCTTCTACTCAAACTTACACTGTGAATGCAATATTAAACATAACAGTCAACAAAGAGGACAACGGAAAGAACCTCATATGTATTGCAAATAACTCAGTTGTGCCTACTGGTCTTCAGTCGTCCCGGAGGGTAACGGTGCTCTGTAAGCTAAGACATGATTTTCATGTCAAAAACTAATTATAATTATCATTATAAACTCTTTCAAAAAGTTGTAATTAAAAGAACATTCTGTTTTTGTTTCTGGTTTGAATGTATTTAAGTTTTATTCTTCCGTTTAATACAGATCTTCCTAAAATTAAGGTTTTTAAACTTCATGGCGGTCCAACAGTCAATGAAACAGCTCCTATGTCAGTGATTTGCGAAGTCGATAGCTCTAGTTTCACTAACATGTCGATCCGAAATCAGAACACCAGTGAGATACTCAGCATTGGTACCTTTACGAACACATTGAACTTCACAGAAAAATCAGCTAAATGTTTTCATACTGCTCTGTATATATGTACAGCAGAAAACCTTATTGGATTTGCTGCTTCTGATCCGATACAGATATATGTAAATTGTATGTTAATTACTAATTCTGATAAATGTTCATCTTTATTTGGTATAATATAAAATGTTAATTATGCGAATCAAAGTGGAATCTGAAAAAAGAATATATAATTTTTAGGTAAAGAATTAAATTTGAGTGGAAAAAAGAGACATAAGTAAAACGGCGAAACCGTACACATGATCTATAATGATAATGAATGTAAATTTCAAGATATTGACACTACTATATTTTTTTTTTATAAATATAATATTTACTCATTAAATTATCAGAAAACTATTGAAACTATTTGTTAAATGGAAGTTTTATCGTTTGTTATTAATTATGAAAGTTCAATTCTAGGTGGTCCAAGATCCCTTGATGGCTTATATTTTCTACGAATACCTGCTTCCTTTCATGATAAGATAGAAATATCGGCGAATTTTCTGTCGTACCCTGCACCATCCTTTCAGTGGGGCTTCAGACAAACAAGTACATCACCAATGCTTACTTTGTCCAGTGATTTTATAAGAACAAGCACTAGTATCAACATTTCTTCATTTTTTATGCATTTGAAGAAGACAGTGCTGGAAGAAGATCAGTTTGGTTATTATACTGTGAGAGTAACCAATGATTATGGATCTTTTATGACAACTTTCCAAATTATTCCTCAAGGTAAGTTTTACCTGACAATAAATTCAAAACCTGAATCTCTTTAAAAGCAAGAAGATTTCTATCACAATGTCGGATATGTCCTCCATTTATATAAATATATTTTTTCTAGGGATGGCAATCGATTACAGCATTGTTAATCGGTTAATCGCAAGACGTTCCGACCGATTAATCGGTTAATTGTATCAAAATACACATTTTTTTTCAAAGTAAATCTATTCATATACATAAGAAGACTAAAAAAGAAGTTAGAAGTTAGAAACTGTCTATGTATTTTCTTCATTTTGATGTACATATATTTTTCTTCAATTTCAAAAGACAAGAAAAAAATAAGGAAACCATGAATCTTGTCTCAGAAATCAGACACGAATTATCCAGTGTAGATGTCACACAAGATTATTCTGCATTGTCACCATAATCAAAACAATGCTTCAACTTCCACTTAATTTACAATGCTTCTTTGAATGATATAATTTAATAGATAACGACTAAAGATAGACATACATTTACAGTGCTCAACGGTGATTTAGTTATTATCATCAAAGAATTACGGGACAGTCGGGTAACGACATGATTTTTTAAAATCAGTATAGCATGTAATTAACACTTCCCAAAATGACCAATTACCCTCTCAATCCGGAGAACCATAATTACCCCCAATTTAGCTTGATAATAAGATTTGTAAAACGCTAGATGTCAACTTTTAATGGAGAGGTTTTCTTTCTACAAATGATTTTTTACATATATTTTATTATTTTTCTTACGACTAACCGATTACGGATTTTCTAACCGATTACCATCGTTCCGCCCGATTAATCGGTTAACCGGTTACAAACTGCCATCCCTAATTTTTTCATATCATATGAATTAATGAAAAGCAAATTGATATGTTAAGGCATGTTTATAGTTTTGATGTAGCGTGATTCCTTTTACAGTATCAAATTCTGTGTCCACGTATAACCACCTACATTAGCAAAGCGAAACCCAATTAAAACTACAACATGTACAAAAGATACTGAAAATAAAATCAATTGGGAAAAATAAATCAATAACAATACGAAGTGAACATATCCCTTCAGTTTTATAATCTGCTCCCAAAAGATTCATGATAACTCCCTCTATCAAACTTTTTTTGAGATTTTCACTGAAAATTGTCAATTGCTCATATCTATGGTTTACATAAAATAAAGAAAAATCTACTCAGCATGTCTTCTTCTATGTGTGATAATAAGGATAGAGACACATAAGTGTACGAAATGCAACTTTGCATGCTTATGCTTCGAAAAATCAATGGAATCGATATAGATACACACGCTTTTTGCATTAATTTTTATACTAAATACTAAGAAAAAATAATGACAAAAACAAATACCAAATATCATTTTATTTATAAAATATTATGTCTGGTTTATTTTTCTGCATTTCATGTTCTAAATTTATAATGCTACGGGAAGTTATTTTGCAATTGAATATCTTACACATTGATTTTTTTAATGATAAGTAGACATTTGAAGTGTAATTTTTTATTGACAATATTGTAAATTTCCTGCTGATATCTACGTCTTTGTTGAAAGTGGCGATCGGGAATTTATTCTGCGTCCTCTATCAGTTTGTCTCAGTAACTAGATTGATTGCACTCATATAGAGACGTCAGCATATACCGGTGAACGGCTTCAAATTTAGATCTTTACTAAGCACTCAGGGCAACTGAGCAGTGAGGGTTCTTTATCGTGCTAACGCCTACCGTAACACGGGCCTCCATTTTGAGGTCGCATTCGAAAGACTCGCAACCTTCACTCCAACTGCCGAGCACTTGGCGAAGGAACAGTTGCTACTTATTTTTTTTTATCTACCTAGGTCATTCGCGAACATACGATCTTCCGATGACGGAGCGAGCGCTCTACCGACTGACCTACCGTGACAGTTCTCAATTACTGGAAAAACCAAGGATCTTATGTTTAGAATGTGATAAGTTTATCAAAATTTTGTGGAAAGGATTACTGATTATGCATTTTTGAACTATTTTCAAAACAAAGGATGAAACAATGCAATCCACTTTACTGATACATGAGTTAGGTGACTGAAAGTCTACTAATAGATGAC